ATATGCTTAAGCTAACGCATAAGATTTGGTCGAATCAGCTCAAAGCAAACATGAATCAAACCGAAGCGGCAGCACCAAGCTTCATTTCGCTTCAGTCTAAGCCTAAAATCTGAAGGCTTCAACCAAAGCGAAATGAATTTGACAACACTGGTCTAAACTTTACAATGATCAAGTTAGTTTTTAACTCAACTTGAATTGGAGATGAGTTTTGAGGATTTATGCAAATCTTAAATTCCCTATATTTACACTTCTTTTTTGAGTTTCAACCTTACATTAGAAATGAAAATAGATTTAAGTTATTTTAGGATTTCTAGTGCAACAATTATATTTCTTCGTATTTTTTTAGTAGTTTAATGGCATGAGTCGAACTTAATATATAATATTTCGAAATATTAGCGGCTAACCACTCGAGCCCAAACCCTATTGTGAACTTCAAGCCTAGCACTATGATCACACCAATAAACAAAAAGCATGTTCTTCATTCTTCAATGACTATGTCCTGAGACACAGTGATTTTGGGTGCCATCCTAGTCTATCCACACAAATATAAGTAAATATGTAAAATCTATTGTGTGCTTGCAAATATATGAGACAACAATAAATAGTTTAAGTAGTGTTTTTAATCTTTTTTTGGTACTCTGGTCATTTCTACAATAACACCAATTATTTTCTTGTTGTTACAAAAATCATTGCCATTAGTAGGGTTGGTAACAAGCCAGACTAGCCCGGCCCAATTCCCCTAAGGCTAACCCATGCCAGGCCCTATCAAAGCTGAGTAAAATTAAAAACAAGCAAGAGAAAAAAGATAAAGAAAATAAGACTGGGGCAGGCGTTTTCAGGGCCGGGCCCATCCGATCAGGCCCATTGCCAACCCCTAGATCATTTTCATTTTAAATCAAAATGAAGGCCAAATCATAATTTAAGAAAATAAAGGGCAACCCCAGAAAATAAGCGTTTGGTAAGGGCTATTTCCATGGCCTTCCTCATTTAAACACCCAAAATTGGCATCTTAAACAAAACCTACCCGTTTTCCAGCCTCCAATAATTGTGCCCTATTTTCTTTCACCGCATAAAGGTGGCCCCCAAAGCCGACCTTCGCACGTGCGAATAGACGTACTGACGTTCTCCAGATCGGATCGAACGTGCGATACAGGACGTTCATACCTGTTAGGACACGTGTCAGAAGGGCGCTTGGGTAAGCGCTTGATGAGAGAGGGGAGAGTTCGGGAAAGGTAAGGAGGCGATATGCGCATGCCTGATGACACGTGGCTGCATACGTCACCGTCCATTTTCTTCAAAGGAATGGTTGTTTTGGTGGATTGGTGATCTACGGCTTCTTGCTATTAGCCCTTCGTGGATTTGATATTTTCACTTTTCATGAATCAAAATCAGGAAAAAGTCCTTTTTACTCAAAGGGGAGTTGTGTACCTTTTGTCTCCCTCCCTTAGATCACGAATTACGTTCTCTCGCTCTCTCTCGTACATTCTTTAGGTAAGTATTTTATTTTTTAGATTTTTAAATTTTTATAGATTTATTTAATTTATATTATTTTTTTAACTTTAAATTTTATAATAAGAATGATAATAAACTTTAAAGCCAAATAAAATTTCAAGACACCTGAATTGTATCTTTCAACAAGATTTAAATTTCCACCTTTCTATGATTGCTTAACATTGACACCTTCTATAAACCTGACTTTCTTAAAATTTGTATAATAAAATGAGCTTTTAGAAAAGTTCTATTTAAATTTGAGGTTTTGGGATCTCATTGGAATTACTAGATGAGTATTTCAAGGAACAAAAAAATTGATTTCTAAATATGTAGATCTTATCATAAAAAACCTGGATGGTCTCTATTGAATATAATGCATTGATCTTTTCAATATAAGGATGTGATTTTTTTTAGTATATGAATCCTTTTTGTCTTTTTATCTAAGTTGGTTCCTAGGTTGGTGGGTTTAGGCTAGCCTTGGCCCGAATTCCACTTGGGTGCCCATAAGGCAGGTCCGATAGGGACCAGGCTAGGCCAAGTGCCCCACCCATTGCTAGCCCTAGGCAGATTAAATCCCCAAAATAATCATCAAATCTACTCTCTCTCTCATTACTTATGACAATCACATCTACTCGCTCTCTCATTACTTATGACAATCACATCTACTCTCTCTCTCATCACAAATGACAATCAAATCTACATAGAGAGTGAATGTTTATTATTTTGCCAAATTTTAGAGATTACATCCCAAATTTCGAGATAAAAAAGATATCCCGAGAGTCCAAGGGAATACATGGATAATATACTCCCACAAGAGTAGGAGATCTTTTGACATTAAAAATTGAGGAGATCTTAGTAATTTTAATTATATAGGATATGTGTAATTTACTCTAGTTTCTAATCTAGAAGAAAGAGTATAGAGAGAGAAGTTTTGAGCACTTTTTTTTTTTTGAGAAATGTTTCTATGCTTCTCCTACTGTATAAAAGATATATATTTCCACCATATCCAACCATCCAATTTATATTAAATGAGCCACTGACTATTTGATCTAGATTCGATGCATTAGAGTATTTTATTTTTAATTTTGTTTTTACAAATAATATGATTATGAAATTTAGTACGTGCCATCATCTAAATGGGGCTCACCTAAATAGAATATTAAAGAAATATTTTTGAGAAAATATAATAAAATTTTCTAGGGCATTTTGGTTATTTTATTTTATTTAGAAATTTTTAATTTATTTTTATAGGTGCAGGTGTAAGAGAGGCGAGGATGCCCAAATTTTGGTATCAAAATATTATGTAGATAAATAATTAAAAACAAAATAGTGTAGAGGTGTGACAATGTTATTGGGGCCATCTCAGCCATCCATTCTGATCGGATGGGAAGAAGCATATAAGCTTTATACAGTAGGAGAAGTATAGAAAGCTTGCCCTTACTCTTTTGTTTTAAAAAAATTATCATCCCAAGAATGCATCGAAACATTCAAAAAATTGGAGGGAATGATCTAGATATTTATGAACTCAAAGTCTAAATTTTTTTCTTTGAAAATAATCATTAAATATAATTAGATAGATCTCGAAACCTCAACTAAAAAAAAAAATCTCCCAAATTGATGCTTTGCTAGAGGGAGTAAATGTAAAGTATGCTTCCGAGAGAGCATAGTATGCCCGCTCTTATAATATTACAATTGTATCTCTTTTTTTGGTATGATAATTTTTAAGACAGTGATTTCATGCAAAGATTGTATAGTAATATGATGCAACAACCTTCAAAAGCCATATTAGGGCTATGTGTTTGATCCAAATTTAGACATATACACTATTTTTCATTCTAATGAACAATTACAAAACAGAAAAATTTGAAAACGCAATCTAAAAAGTATTTTTTTTAGCCCAATTAACATAGGCCGTCCATTTTGTGACTTTGGATTTTTAACCTCTAAAATGAGGGCAGAATGAGAATACAAAATTG